TCTCCCTGGGGGAACATCCATTCATCAGGATTGGTGATGACGGCGATCGTGGAAGGTTACTAGTTTGTTTTTTGAGGCATTGAATGTGACCAGCCAGTTTATCCCCTAGTGAGCTGCTAGAGCTAGGTCAGAGCAGAGATCATCGAGGGTTTTGGTGCATTATGGAATAAATCTAGGTGCAAGTACTGGTAGTCTACCATTAACCGAAAGAAGAATTAAACTGGATACAGATAATGGTAATCTGCGACGTCTGATTAGTATTAGCCTACCAGCTACCTCGATGTCGATGACTGACTGACTGACTGACTGACTGACTGACTGACAGGTGAATGCAAATGTCATTGATGCAAAAATCTTATTCGAGAAAGCTTCGTTCTCGAATAATCACATGTTAGGATAGAAGCACTTTATCATGTAACTTCTGAAAGTATCAGTTTCTACAATTAGTTTGATCCTTACAAGATGCCCATCACCTGTGGCCTTATGTCAGACGAAGTTAGACTTCAATATCTGTCTATATCTTTGAGATGAAGTATTATAGCCCAGTGGAAAATGACGTTGGTTAAATCCAGTGACTAGACCCAAAGAGTTGTGAGTTCAATACCAGGCCACAGCAGTGGTGAACCAAAACTTGGAGAGTCGAGTTAAAGGGAAATAACTGAGACATCCGACAGAGGCATGGCACGTGGAACTAGAACAATCTACCCGGTGGACGAAATAAAGAGTTCCGTTCGAAATTCCAATTATCTGAAGAAGACTAGAGCTTACAACGGCCGAAACGTTTTGAATATGTCAATGAAGATGAGGATAGCAGTGCGAATAATGGAAATAATGGAATTTAGTCTTAATAAATAGGGTAATCCGAAGTTTTAATTTTGCAAATTGACGCCTGAAAGTAAAAAATGAAAATTACGAAGCTCCTCGGCAATAATTTTTAACGAGCAAACCTTCCATTTCTGTATGTTACTATTTTGAGACTCGTATTTTCTGTTTCTTGTAAACTTGAAAGATAAAACAATGGTGTAAGCTGATAAATGTCAGTGAAAAAAAATTAAAAAAAAAACGTTTTATCAGTTACTTCCAACGTCTATCAACTTTCAATTCATTCATCACACTTTTATCTCCTTGTACAATGAAATGTCCTGAGGGAGATTTCTCGTATGTATTTTCCATTGTGAAATTTATTTCATCCACTTCAAACGTCCTAAATCTGTTTTACCGAGTTTTACCGAGTTTTAGCGAGTTTTACCGAGTTTTACCGAAACCTTTTCAGTCGTACATTTCAGGATACGTATACATATGAAATATGACAAGAATTGCTGAAAGGGAAGGAAAGTTTACATCTAGTCGCCCAACAATCTCCACTACTGTATTTTTTTTCAATTCAAAATTGTCCTTCTTCTAGGCTATTTGTCAGCCAATGCTAAAAATCCCAGTTTTCCTGGCTATTTTAGTCATAACTGTACAGTAGGTACCGGAAGTATCTCAAAGGTGATTTACATCAATGCCTCTCAAATTATATGATATGGCGAACCGGCATTATTTTTTCAATGTCTCACGTACCTGTAATATGTCCTGGTAATATTAATTTATACCGGAAACGATGTATATAATGAATATAATAAAATTTGACTATTTTTTTTATCTTCTGTTTATTTTTCAAAAAATAATTCAATATCAAAACATATAAAAAGTAATTAAAAAAATAAGCAGTTTATTAACATAATAAAAAAAAATTATATAACCTTAATCTTTACAAATGATTCCTTAGCATAACCTGGACACTGGCCGCGTACCGGTAGCTGATAGTTCGCGTACCGGCACCAGCCACCACCATTTTGAGTAGTACTGATTTACGTTATCTATTTGTCTCTACTAATTTGAATTCAAAGTTGTCTCTTCGCTGTACTGGTTTCTAGTATAACTACACGTGTATTTATGCCTATTACAAGAACATTAGTGCAATGGAGGAATAACTGCCACAGCTGAAATGTGAACTCGATTCGCCAATTTCCTATTCTGTATAATTAACTGTTAGGCCACTCGTACTTCAACTAATCATTAAAACTCAATTTATTTTGTTACTCTTCTCTTTGAGAGAGCTATTTCTGTTTACTGGGACTATAAAAGGACACTATACGCGAACCTTGTGTTCCCAGTTGAATAAAGCTTTCTTAAAGCCTACAACTGCGTACTTTTGTCATTACGGTGGTATTCACAGCACATGATGTTGGTTGCTGGAAAGAAGTGTATTTTCAGGTCACCTCTTGGGAATTAAGAAAATAAAGCGGTCATTTATTTTTGATCAAAAGAGACTGCATCGAACCCTTTTCAAAGTAACCTGGTCTATGACGGAACCAGTTTATAAAACACATTCTCCCTGACTCACGATCACTCGAGTCATAATCTCTTCTGGTCATTGCTTCTGGATGTTTGCGTTGTCAATTCTTCGTTCCAGCTGAAGTTGATTCGGCAATTTTCTATCGGTCTTTCTCAGCCCACGTTGTGTTGTTTAGATCCTGGAAAAAGTGTAGCCAACAACGTCTATCACATCTCTGGAAGACGATGGAATCGACTGTACTGTATTAAATAACTTCTGCCAAAGAATAAGTTAACTCTCTCTGTAAAAACAATAACAAGTTGGTTTAATTTGATGTCAGCAATATTCACTACTGTTGATGCTGCCAATGTAAACATTAGCTACAACAATATGGGACCCACTTGTTCATGTAGAATCTGTCAGACAAGCTAATTAATACTAGGAATCGGTACGATTCAGTATGGTCTGGCAAAAGAGCCTGCGTTCTGATTAGTTCTGGCGATGACTGCTCTGACTTCTGGCCGCGTAGACGACTGGCTTCTGACGGCTGCACGCAACAAATAGGTGTTCTGCCAAATTACTCCCCCGCCATGTTTCAGCTCGACTGGCAAATTCCAACCATGTGATTCTTCAGGGGGAGTTTCCGATTTGTCAATACTTCCCACGTGATTCCCTTGAGGCGATCCGAATTCACACCTGGGACCTCCCAATCTCTACCCACGCAGGTTGAGGATTCTCCAATTTCCTGCACACACACACACACACACACACACACACACATATTTACTGTGTTTTGATTATGATCCCAGGGTTTGACAATTCACAACTTTTGACCCTGTGAGCCAACTAGTCAAAATAATTATTATTTCAAATCTCGATTACCAGCTGTGCGTCTATGTAATTTTTCTAACCCGTGGGAATTTATATTTTAGTTTTAACCCTTTCAAACCATTCCGCAGAGTTTACCAAAATTTGCGATATTCTCAGGTTCCATATTGTTACTGTATTATAAATACTTCCCCCAAACTTTCAAATATTGTAGTTCTCAATCTTATTTTCTTTGATTTCAGTTCTCATGTAAAATGCAGAGGAAACTTCTATCAAATAGCAAATCATTTGTCAGTTTGTTTAAAAAGATTATTAGCAGAAGTATTCTTTTCTTTCTCATGGTTTTTGTTTTCAACTGGCGATCTTGCATTGTGTGTGTTCTCTGTTAAGTTGTACAACCTCAAACAGAGAACACATTTCACAGAAAATTTGTAGTGTCAAGTAACACAGACTTCTGAAGCGATGGAATATTTGGTTTTATGCCGATTTACGCGATGTTATATAATGCCCCACATTATGACAACTTCAACCCGAATGTCGGTTCATTTCTTAAGCCTGCCATTTTCGTTGACCTTGATATTATGATCACGTATTATTATTATTAGTAGTAGTAGTAGTATTACGAATGTACTCGTGTCATCAAAAATGACGGCAATTGTTAGAAAGTTTTAATAGTGAGATGTAATGAACCAAAAGTCTTGAAACAATCTATTGAGATTCAGTAAAGCGGGGATAAAGAATTCACAACTAATATGGAAGCCAATGAACCGTTTAATTAATCCGTTCGCTTTATACATTTTTTAGGCATTAGTTAATACTGAATAAGTAATGAAATCCGTGTGTTTTCGACAGGGAACAATCAATGATTCGTTGATTACTACTTGTATTATATAAATCGCTTTTTGCTCAAAATTCCTTCATGTTAAAAATGTTGTGTTTAATAAAAAGTGACATCGAAATATCTTTGGGAATGAAAAGATTAGCAACAGAAGGAAAAACATGGCGACGACAAAACCTATTTTCAAGGCCAAGTTGAAGTAGGATGATCACTTAATAAACAAAAAAATATCTTCACATGAAAGACTTGAAAAAAATAAGACTTGAATTTTAAGATACGTAGGAGGAAAGGAAGTGGTTACTTAAACGATTCATTTTTCTTGGTAACAAATTTTGTCTAAATGCAGATAAATATTTTCTTTATATAGATTATTAAAACGAGTAAGGGAAGTAGTCACATGAATTTACTAAGTCAAGTTGATTTACCTTCCTTCTCATTACAGATTAGACAAGAAATATATAAATAAATAAACATTATTATTATATGGCTTTATTATTATTATTATTATTACATAGATGGTTTTCTGGTCATATTCAGGTGAAACACCTTTTTTATTTATTTGTGTAAAAAGTGAAACAAAAGTTGTGAAGGCAGAAAAAAAGTCTTCTTCTAAAGAAACTCTTGAAATCAGCGTATATTTCGCTGACATTTTGCAAGAAAAACATTTTATCAACACTGTACTCTATTCTGTTTCAATCGTCTTTCATCTCTATACATAAAATCTAATGTCCGTTACTTTGTAATGTACAAAACATGTCACGCTATGTTTTTTTTTTCTTTTTGCGTTTTTATCTTTTCATTAATTCAACATGATTGTTGTTTATGGCAACAAACCTTTCAGAGGAAAATCATTGGTTTTCCTGGCTTCCATTATTTTCAAACAGCATCAACAATATTAATTGAACAAGAAATCACGTCAATCGTTATGGACGCCTCGTCCATAACGATTGACGTGATTAACAAAAATAGCATGAGTTGAATATTTGCATTATATGGGAGCACATCTTAAATGAGTCCGAACTTTTTCCTCTCCACACAAACGAACTTTTTCCTCTCCATACGAACGAACTTTTTCCTCTCCATACGAACGAACTTTTTCCTCTCCATACGAACGAACTTTTTCCTCCCCACATGAACTTTTACCTCCCCATATGAATGTTTTCCTCCCCACACGAACTTTTTCCTCTCCACACGAACGAGCTTTTTCCTTCCCACACGAACGAACTGTTTCCTCCCCACTCGAACTTTTTCCTCCCGACACAAACTTTCTCTTCCCCCCACACAAGCTTTTTCCTCCCCCACCCCACGAACTTTCTCCTCCCGACAGGATACCATGAGATTCAATAAGCAGATTTTAAAAATTAAAAAACAGTTGGAGATATTTTACCTTTCAATAAAATCATTCACTTATTCGTTGAAAAGATTTCCAATCAGTCTAGAATTTGGTGTCTTTCTTGAAGGGAATTTCTTGAAAGGAATTTCTTGAAGGGAATTTCTTGAAGGGAATTTCTTGAAGCGAATTTCTTGAAGCGAATTTCTTGAAGGGAATTTCTTGAAGGGAATTTCTTGAAGCGAATTTCTTGAAGGAATTTCTTGAAGGAATTTCTTGAAGGGGAATTTCTTGAAGGAACTTTTGAAGGGAATTTCTTGAAGGAATTTCTTGAAGGAATTTCTTGAAGGAATTTCTTGAAGGAATTTCTTGCGAATTTCTTGAAGGAATTTCTTGAAGGAATTTCTGAAGGAAGGAATTTCTTGAAGCGAATTTCTTCTTGAATTTCTTGAAGGAATTTCTTGAAGGGAATTTCTTGAAGGAATTTCTTGAATTTCTTGAAGGAATTTCTTGAATCGAATTTCTTGAATTTCTTGAAGGAATTTCTTGAAGGAATTTCTTGAAGGAATTTCTTGAAGGGAATTTCTTGAAGGGAATTTCTTGAAGCGAATTTCTTGAAGGGAATTTCTTGAAGGAATTTCTTGAAGGAATTTCTTGAAGGGAATTTCTTGAAGGGAATTTCTTGAAGCGAATTTCTTGAAGGGAATTTCTTGAAGCGAATTTCTTGAAGGGAATTTCTTGAAGGAATTTCTTGAAGAATTTCTTGAAGGAATTTCTTGAAGGGAATTTCTTGAAGAACTTTGAAGCGAATTTCTTGAAGGGAATTTCTTGAAGCGAATTTCTTGAAGGGAATTTCTTGAAGGGAATTTCTTGAAGCGAATTTCTTGAAGGAATTTCTTGAAGGGAATTTCTTGAAGCGAATTTCTTGAAGCGAATTTCTTGAAGGGAATTTCTTGAAGGGAATTTCTTGAAGGGAATTTCTTGAAGCGAATTTCTTGAAGGGAATTTCTTGAAGGGAATTTCTTGAAGGGAATTTCTTGAAGGGAATTTCTTGAAGCGAATTTCTTGAAGGGAATTTCTTGAAGCGAATTTCTTGTAGAGAATTTCCTTCAATTTTGCTGCGGACCTCTTTCTCCTCCCAAACAAAATGCCTATTGTATGTTCTTTTGAGTATTTTGTAAAAGATTTCATGAAGACTAGAAATAAATAATCATATTGATTGTTCCTAGTCGAAAACACACGGCTTTCTTTACTTATTCAGTATTAACTAATTTGTAACCCTTTAGTGTTTCAAAACAAACAAAAATACGTTCAAATTTATGGATCAAGTAATTTATTCTATATGTATATTTTTATTTAACTTTAAAATCAACCAAGAATTTGCTAGGTTTTCTTTAGTTTGTCTTCATTAAGATTATTTTGTTTTTGTCCAAATTAACATTTCTTTTCAAGGTATAAAATCGTTCTATATGCCGATACGTTTACCAAATGCGTGAAAATACAAGTCATAAAAATCAGTGTACGAACTGAATCGATGCGTTTGCAAAAAATCTACCCGAAACGAAATTTGATTGTTAAAAAACAATAGAGGAACAAAAATATACCGTAATTTCCCATGTATAATACGCATTTTCTTCTTAAAAAGTAATAAGCAAAATCACGACTGCGTATTATGCAAAGCTACAAAAGAAATCATTTAAAAATTGGCGAAAAATAAAATAAGAATTATCATAAAACTAAATTACAATAATATTATTCTATGTTTAAAACCATTTTTACTAAGATTAGGAAACGCTGGCCGTAATGAAATGGGAGAGGTACAATTTATAGGGTTTGTTTACCAAACAAGGAGTGCGTATTATGCGTGTGTAAAAGCATTTTCTCACACTTTCAGCATAATTTCAAGTGTGCGTATTATGGATGAAGGCGTATTATTCATGGAGAATTACGGTAAATCGTTCATTTCAGCAAATGCCATATTTTATTCGATTGATATCGAAAAAAATACTTCCAGTGAGTTGAGAAAAAGTATTGATATTTTGCAAGAAACGTTGATTCAAATGAATCTTTCCTTGTAAACGAAGAAAAATTCCAATAAAAACTCGTCAAATTATTAAATATTTGACAGAGTGCCGGGCAAAAGATTCACGAGAAAAAAAAAATGAGCAAATGCTGAATGTCAAAGATGACATCGACGACATTTCCCTCAGACATTGACGGAAATGACGTAGACACTTCAACACAATTTTTATTGAAACTTATGACCTCAAAAACTGCAGTTTTGTCACATGATACGAAATCAATGTTTTTAAAATTTTAAACGGAATTAATTACCAAAAGTTGATAGAAGTCAATCATATCAGGCAATCGATAGAGAAAATTCAATTATCAAATGGTCGAATTGTGTCAATCCTCAGAACTGTCAATATTTTTTACCCAATCAACAATTACCAAAAACCAGAAACTACACTTTTTCCAGAAAACACACACGCAAAAAAAAAACAAAAAAAAACTTACTGGCTTCTTTGAACACTATTTATATAATTTACATTGTTCGGATTGTTGTCCTCACCTTTATTGCCATGCTCACGACATTTCATCCGTTGTACACTACGGCCTTCTTCAGGTGATTGTTATTTTGAACTGAACCCTTTATTTCGTCCACCGGCATAGATTGTTCTAGTTCGACGTGCCATGCCTCTTCCAGATGTCTCAGTTATCTCCCTTTAACTCAAATCTCTAAGGACACATGGCCCAGTGGATAAAAGCGTTGGTTGGATCCAGTGACATATCTCAAAGAGTTGTAAGTTCAATACCTGGCTACTGCAGTGGTGAACAAAACCTTGAAGAGTTGGGTTAAAAGGAGATACATCCGGAAGAGGCATGGCACGTGGAATACTATGTAAATAATGTAAATTATTACAACACCTCAACTCTGAAATATAGGCAGATACTCTGAACACAATTGCAACATATTTTTCGATTATTACCGTATCTTCCGGCTTACAAGACGCTGCAGCTCGGTAGACGCACCCTAATATTGGAAAGTAATTTCTAAGAAAAAAAAGTCATTCTCATACAGTAACACATTCACATACTGGTACCATGTATTGTTTACATTAATCACTTGTCTGATTTTGTTTGTATGGCATGTTTAAGCTTGTGGCTCGGCTCCAGGAAGGTTTATAGTCATGGAAATACTTGTAACAGCTAAGTACTGAGGTTACATCATATAAAAGGCTGAATTAGATAAATAGCTAACATACAAATGACTCAACATACAAATGACTCAACATACAAATCCACGTCCCTATCAGCTAAACCAATTAGGTGACCATCCAAGCTTACATTCGTTTTGGAAGACGCATACGTATTTTCAGGGTATTTTTAGGAGAAAAAATGTGCGTCTTGTAAGTTGGAAAATACGGTAATCCTTTCTGAACATTATTCAGGGACATATTATAAGTTAGTTCTAGAAATATGGTGTTGCACAAACATTCAAAATGGAGACTAGCCTTTTTTTCAAAATCGATATTGAAAATTATTGCATAAGAGTTAAATTAATATTTGTATCTGTATGCTATGTAATTTTGAGCAGTTCTTTAGAAACTCAACCAACCGTTAATTTTTACTTTCACCCTTAGACCCTTGTTTCTTTCATCCTTTCTTTCTTTAAGTCACCAAATTAATTTAAAACTTTGATTTGTATATCAAGTATCAAACATTGAAATTTATTCTAAATCATGTCTTTCATCCAGATATTGAAATGTCTTCCATATTTTCTATTTTGCTGTTCCTATTCTATTCTATTAGTTAATTCTCTCTGTAGCTTTTCTCTTAATTCTCCTTTTTATCTCTGGGGAAAATGTTCAGAATCTCCTCCCCTATAGGTGAAGTTACATTATATAGCAGTTCAGCACTATTTTGTTTGTTTCCAATGAATTTTTCCTGTATCTTAATACTTTGCTAACTTCTGAAAGACATCTTTCGCTATTCCAATGTGCCTTTGGATTTATGCGCCACATTTTCCGTCGTCTGTAAAAAACAATTCCCCAATGGATGACGGACCAGCAATAAAACTCACTGAATGAATTTCTATTGCATCATTTCTTATCGGAGACTTTAGAAATGTTTAAACCTGCGGAAACATCACGTTGAAAAAAACAGGTTCCCGTATGATCACCGAGGTTAAGCAACATCGAACCTGGTCAGAACCTAGACGGGGGATCGCTTGGAAATCCCAGGGGCTTGAAAATGCGGTTGGGTTGGGGATCGGAATTGCTAATCGGATAACCGAGTTCCAATTCCCGTTGACTTCGTTATATTCATTTGGTTGCAAATGCCATTCGAAAAAGGTATGAATAAACCTATTCTCCCCAGCTATGGGTTAATTAGTAAGATTTGTATCCCTAAACCGTTATTATCTCAAAAAATTTCTTACAGTCTAAAAAATTATTTTCTAGCTTTAAATAACTTGAAAAGGGTTGATAAGCCGTAGAAAATGAATTAGCCAATGAAAAATAAATGCTTATGTTGCAGTCTTTCATTTTAATTTAATTTACTATGAACGCTGAACGATCTTCGATATTTAATTGCTGTATTTTATATTGACCACTATGAAATGGCGTAATGGTTAGAAACCTAGAAAGTGAACTTAATTAGCTAAGATCAAATTCCAATCAAGACAATGAAACTTCATTTCATGAAGTCTCTCGGGAAACTTCCTTTTCTTTCTTTGCTACCTATCATTGCTAGTAACTTTATTTTGTAACGAAAACGCTGACATAGTGGGAATATGGATAAGTACCTTTTTCTATGGAATGCCGAACGGGACAATAATCGTATTATTGAAACTATAGCATTTACTCTTGAATTTTGATAAATATAATAATAATATATATAAGTTAATTTTTCCAAGATTGCTGAAGGCATTTGGCCTCAGTTCTTGTGAAGATCTATTTTTGCTTTCGGTTAATCACCATTCTGGATTTAATTTATATGGATTAA